TACATACACACGATTATAATATGAACACAGATGTGCCACAAAGCTCCTTAAAAATTTCTGCAGAGTACAAACTTGAAAAAAAAACGCAAATGCTGATGATTTCCTACATCTTGCACTAAACATAGATTTTAAAAATTGAAAATTGTACTTTTAGAAATTTAAAATTATATAATTAATTAATTGTTATTATTAATGCTTATTGTATAAAATGCTTATTATAAAATACGTACATACATATTTCTTTTGGTTGTGTAATGTTATGAGTAAATAGTTTTGGCAATTTTAACATGTCCGTTTTCTCCCATCGCTTTGGAAACTTATCTCTAGTCAACTCAATGATATTTAAACGAAAATCTAAAATACACCAAACTATAAGTGCGCCACATATTGACAAGTTTTAACTACTTATTTTTTTAAACTTTCTGGATTCTAGGCTAATTGACCTAATGTAACAATACAGCCCGACGTTTTGATAACTTCTTTAGCTTTCTCAGGGGCGATTTCTTGATTAAAAAATTTAATTATTTTTTTTGCTTAAATCTATTTAATTTTTTTTTTTTTTTAAAAACATTGTTATTGTCTACAACAAAAATCATATAAATTCAAGTTTCAAACTTTGTGCAATATTTAAAAAAAAGTCAGGAAACTTTCGCAAAAATTTTTGGCTCTTTAATTAGATTTTTTCAAAAAGATTTTGAGTATGCAGTTTTGCAGCCCATTCAATGTTTATATAATAAAGCACAAGTTTGACATGGCTAGAATTTACCGTTGATTTTGGCAATTTTTCGTTGACAATGTTTTGCATTTTCTTCTATATAAATTGTGTTCGACGACTTTTTTTGAAGCAAATATACATAAAGTGCAAGTTTCATGTACTCCAAAGTTCTCGTTAAATTTTGAATTTTTTTTTTTTCAAAAGCATGCGTCATATTCAAAAATCAATGCCAGTTTGGGCTACAATTGAATGGGCTATGAATCTACATACATACCCTAAATTTTGATTGAAAAGTTTGAAACTTTTATTTATATAGTTTTTGTTATAGTGTTAAATTTTAATTCATAAAAAATAGTAATGGTAAGTTATGCGTGACTGCCAGTGTATGTACTACGACGTTATACAGTGACTCACACAAGTGATTTTTTGTTTAATATCACAATGTTTTTCAAGGGAATTGGTTTTTTGCTATTTATTATATAACAAATGCAATTTATAAAAGCTGGCGTTGATTTTTTGAAATTGTGTTGCAAACAGTTTTCCGAATTTTATTAAAAAAAAAAGTGCGAAAATCCGTCAGCAAAAAAGAAAGTATTCAAAATCAACGCGATACCCGCTTGCAAATTGGACTCCTCCATTGGAATAAAATTATGTGGGCTATAAAACTGCATACCCGAAAATGTTGTAATGATTTAGATTAATAAGTTTAAAATGTTGATGAAACTTTGTTGAATTATTTTAAATGTTGTATAATTGTTTGAAATGGTTTTGGTTAAAGCTTGGACAATAAATATTTTTTATAGAAAAATAAGAAAAAAATGTAATAAATTTAACTTGAAAAACATTGTGAATATTTAAAAAAATCAACACGTGGTCACAGGTTTGAGTCACTGTTAAGGCAAAGAACTATTTATTTTTTTTTAACGTGCTTTCTTAAACATTCCGTTGATTTATTATCAGCTTCACCTAGGGTTGACAACCGTACTATAATTGTACTATTTTTCCGATCGGCGTACTATAAACTGTTGGAAAAAATATAGTACGCGAAAATACTGTATTGAAATGGATGACCTTTGTACTGAAATAACAATATTAAATGAAATATTCTTCAAAGTAGAAGGTCATAGTGAGTTTATAATCAAAAAAGGCAACATATTTTTAAAAACACTAAGAAAGAATTAACAAATTTACTTAATATTTCTTTTCTACTCTCTATTCCAGCAACTTCGGCATTCACGGGAAGAACTTTTTCCATTACTTAAAAAGCGTTTTTAATTTTTCTTAAAAAAAAATACTATATATATTTGAAGTGTAGGTACTATATTTTTCCCAATTTTATTCGAAAAAGTACTATAAATATCTTAGAAAATGTTGGCAACCCTAGCTACACCCTTCTTCAAAACTCAAAGATATATCTGTGCAAAACATGAGATTTATTATTGCCTTTAAAACGCTGTGTTTATTTAAGTTGTTCGCTTCTCCTATCAATCGAGTCTTTCACATTGATGGCGACAATATGCGCGTTAATTTTTTGATCTTTACAAAAAATATCAGTTAAAAATTGCGAAAACTCTGAAATATCTGCATAAATAATAGTAACGTAGATAACACATAAGCTTTATACTTGTATGTATATGCATGTATGTATGTATGTATGCTTGATTAAGCTTAGCAACATATCTCGTTGTGTGGCAAAAAAATATTTGGAGCCCCCTAATTTGGCGCAAGTGTACGTAAGGTCGAACCTCTCATCCAATCCAGTGTGGTTTGCAACTTGATGTTGTCACAAAAATTTAGAGATATGTAAAGATTTTAGGCCGACTATGAACGACAAAGCGGTTTTTATGATGCACTTTTTCACAAAAAAAAAAAAAATACTATCGGTGGATTACCATGAGCTGCAGTGGAACGTCTATTAAAAAGCACATTTTTCAATGCTTTAACCTTGCGTTCTAGCGGCTTTGGCTTCTCTACAAAGTAAAACTTGGTGCCCTTCTAAATACTGTGATTTTTACTTTTATTTTTGGTGCAAATTCATTCATATACTTTTTAAATGCATTTAATTCATATAAAAGTTAAATAAACGTTGAACTGAGGTTTGTAAATCCTCGAAAGTCTCAAAATTTTTTCCCAAATGGCAACATTTTCCAGAGGCATTCTATATAATTTTTTATTCGAAAAAAGTTGAAAATCGGACTAAACCGAAGCTTATAAACGTACTATTATTTTTTCCAAAATCTAAAAATTTCGAATGTTTGACAAGTTGGCTACTGAGGTACACATATCTATGTACATATTGCACATGCAGTCATAAATGAGCAGTGCTACACCCAAACTCAATAGTTTTTTCATTGTAGCTTTATTAGACATTTCCGAGGGATCAAATCGTAATTGGTAGATGTATTTATAAGAGCTCATGAAATAATTCTTAAATTTCAGGTAAAAAGGTAAAAATTATAAAATTAAGGTTTATTGCAACAATGAATTGATCCCTAAAAGACGATAATTTTCATATACTACACCATCTCCAGAGCATCTAGATGCATTTCTGCATCAAAAATGAAATTTTGAAAAAATTGACCAACCATGGTACAGTTTTAAACCTTGCCGCGATTCTCAGCCGCAAGACCACATCATAGAACAAGAGATGAGTGTCTTGAGATAAGGATCGAGGTCCTTGATAGACTTCTATAACGAGGTCAATCAAAAATTTAGGCTATTAATAAGCAAAACCATTATGACTCATGGCACGAACTCTGCATAAAGTCAAGAATAAATAAAAATTCAAAAGGTTTAGACATTTATAAGAGCATAAAAACCATTAATGGTTATACGATAATAAAAAATTACCACGAGATGCATTAATTCGGAGTAAAAGAAATTTTGTTTGAAATTGATAATTTGATTTGATCTTGAAAATCAGAAATTAATTATAAATAGCGAAGGCAAAACTATTCAAGTACCATCCGAACAGTAGGACCATTTCTTCCCGAAGCGAACGTTTCTTTCGTATAATTTGCCGTTAATTATCCAAAAAAACCCAATTTACGAAACCAGCTAAATTTCAAACAAGTGAACGTGGTATTTCATTTTATTGTCCAATAAATCGTAATCAATCAGCTTTCCGGATCAGAAAAGAGCGAAAATAATAACTCAGGTGTGAGGACAACTATAAAAGGCCCCCATAAAAAGTAAACGCAGCCTAGACTTTGGAAACATTGAGCACGTCCTCCCCAAATTTAACGGCGATGACGTGTCGTACTTAGTCCTCATGGATTCCTCAGAAGATACTTGCTCTCCGCTGTTCATTAACTGAGACAGCACGAGTGTTTCTGTCAACCACGATCGCACTAAACTACGACACCCTGAACAAGGCACTGATTGCGGAGTTGACAAAGCAGAAGAAGGACGCGTCGTTGCACTGCTATCTGCTGAATATGCAGGCTTTTGAAAAGCGTGCTAACATTACCTACACAGAAGTGATCGACTTTATCATCGATGGCATAGGGAATTCTGTTCCGAATATTCAAATTCTGATGAAGGCATTAATAAGCCATTATCAACACAAATATTTCATGGTCGACGCCACCCGAATGGATTCCAAGCAGCTTACCGCTTCATCCTTGGTGGTTGTGTTGGCTCTAGATCGGCGGTATTATTCTGGCAGTTATAAGCTACGCACTGACCACCGAACCTGCAGGCCACAATGTGGTACTTTGGTTGTGTGTGCTCACAAGGCGTGTTACTTATACATATTTACCCAGTGTCGTTTGCAGTTATCATGGTCAGAAATGATTATTCCCATGAAAAGACCGTCGCTGAACACAAATGGAGGAATATATATCGGTGAGGTTGCCTGTTTATGTATTTATGGACTCAATTAGTAAGAGAATATGTGTTTCAAGTCGTTGTTTTTCGTATAGTTAAGTTAATTATTATTTTAATTTTGCCTAGTGTTATACGAACGTGACAATGGAATCGACCGGAAAATTTTCAGTTGATCTGCGATTCTTTACGATAGATGTGCGAATTGGTGTTTATTCTGTTTATTTTACGACTATCATATCATTTATGTTTTTGTTTGGTACTTAATTTCTCTTTAACACTGTTTCTTGCGTTCGTACGGAGGCCGGTGTTGATGCTTATTGTAGTATTAAAGCAAACACTAGGGTTGAAGAGTATGTGATACCTTGTCGTGTTTTGTACTGGTTGATGAACGATCTAAATCGGCAGCTATTTTTGGTTTTATATGTAGTCTTTCTTTTTATTATTGTTTTTACCTTTGTTTTGTCATGGAACAGTCTTAGACTGAAGAAATTTGGTTGGGTGGTGAATAACCTTCTGTTTTCAACCTGTTCATGATTTTTTTATTTCAGAATTGTGGTTTAATGACTACAATTTAGTTTGAAGTTAAATTAGTAATTTTATTTAAAATTTTATGATGCCAGCTCCCAGTGGTGAGAAGTGTACGTCAAATTACTGTGTGAAGGGTAGCACACATAAAATGTATCCACCAGATCATCCCAACTTTAAACCTGGTGGTTGTTCCACCAGAGCTCCACCGCCAGGGCAAGAATATTACAAATCAGTTCAGGATGGTTCAACAAAGCGTTGGACGTAAATTAAGTTAGAAACCTTATTTAAATGGCTTACTCATTGCACAACATATTGGACACTGACATAGAATTGCTACCACAAAAGTTGCACGAAAGTTTAGAGCGAAAAGATTTGGAAGAAAAAAAGAAAAAACAACGGCGGAAGTCATTGAAAGAATTGAAATCTCCGCTTGAAGAGATAAAACAAAACGCGGGCGCTCTGCTTAAGCCGACTTCTGATACTGCTGCTGTAAGTAAAATTCCTATTGTCGCATCTACATCTAAACGTCTGCTCGTCAACCGAGCATCATGACGAATGCGTGTTACAAAGATTTTAATTCGCCGCATGAACTTTTGGCGATGTCAGATTGGTATAAATACGGGGCCCTAAGACGGTGGTCACGAATCTTGGTTGTACTACAATTTAACGTAAAAGCTAACCGGGAATATCAGAACATCGTTCAGTCAGATTCCCAGAGTGCAAGACCCCTTTTCGAAAACTGTGCGCTTTCCGATAAACTATCTAGTGAGGATGGGCGCTGGGGAAATGATGAACACAGTGCTCCCCATTCTGACGTCACTCGATTTAGCAAATAGAGCTGTAAATCGTGACCACGTGACTTATGACAGCAGCGATGCAAAACGCTCTTACGATGTAAATGTGCAACGATCGGTTGCAATGTTGGCTAATGTGGAGCCCGATGAGTTGGCGTCGATGGGTGTCTTCAATCGCACAACTTTTGAACGAAAATATGACTTGAAGTGGGAATAAATAATACCACATTAATCCGAGGCAGCCGTCAACAACAACAAACAGGTGGCAACGAGCAATAGTGGACTCAATGCTGTCCTATAACTGCTCGCGGAATGAGCACATGCAGCCCAATTGTCTATATCCACTGATCCTGCTTCAGCAGCTGGCGCATGACTCATGACTATCGCTTCTGCCCGAACATGGCAAACGTTTTCAAACCTCGGCATGAAGTGGCCTTCGTTACAAATGACGTAGATTATGAGAGAGATGTCATCGGCGCCTTTAACTTTGTAAGTATAGAATTTGACACCGGTTAGCTTCATAAAGGTGTCACTAGTCCCAAAACAGTTGGTAGCCTGACCTCTAATGGTCAATACAAGTACCCAAAATGCCTTTCGGTCTGAAGAAGTCACCCATAATATTTCAACGTTTTATAAATAGCATTGCCCGAGATATGATTGACGATAGAAAAATCAAGCTTTTCTGCAAGTTTTGAACTTCTTCAAGAACACTAAAACAACATATTTGATAATGAGAAATTATTTAATTCACAAACGATCAGGTTATTGCTGTGGGACCACTTCGGCGCAGACACCTACACCACACCCCCCTACCATAGTATTTCTAACGGGCAGGTAGAGCGCTTTCACATCACTCTCACCGAGATCGCCCGCTGTATCAAGCTCACCCAAGGAATATATGACACGACTGACTAAATACTACTCGCCACAGCCAAATACAACAGGTCAATCCATTCCGTCACCGAACAAAGGCCCATCGACATAACTCAATCGATTCCAAAATCGTTAAGAGATAAAATTAGTGATAGAATTAAGAAGTCTCAGGAGAAAGAATTCGAGTTGTACAATAAATACATACAAACACAATCATTTCAACCCGGGGATAAGGTTTTCGTGAAAACGAATAAACAAATAGGGAACAAGTTTAGAAAAATCTGCGTCGAAGGGACTGTGACAAAAGCTTTGGGGACATCTGCGATGATTGGAAAGAGAATAGTTCACAAAAGTAACCTCAGGTAATCCTTTAATTTGAGATACCTTCTCCTTGCACTGATGCAGTGGAACTATACAAACGCACATTACATATCAGTCAGCAATGGACAAGTAACTCTTTTTGAGCGGTACCGTTCAATATTGCACAGCATTAATCTTACAAACTACGAAAGGGTTGCATTTGATACTGAAGATATTATTGGCCATTTCCCGCAATCCCACATCAGGGAATTATTACAGGCTGGCATTGACCAAATTTTTCAGTTACTTGACACGTTAAGAGTCCATCATAGACAGGCCCGCAGTGTAAACTCTTCAGGGACGGCGCTGAAAGACATCGCAGGAACCCCTGATATCAACGACTACAATGACTTCAAGGTTTGAGAACAAGCCACTGATAGAGGCAAGTGAACGTCAAATGGTTATAAATACAGAAATGCAGGTTAGGAAATCAGCTGACACAGCGCGTGAATGAATTACTTGACGTAACCAAGAAAGCAGATATAGATACAGGAATTTTGTTCGAGCTCGTCACAAGCAGGAACAGGGAAATAATGACGGACATTGAAAATCTTATTTATTCGATAACCTTGGGTAAGGCAAGTGTAACAAACCCAATTATTTTGGATGCCAGAGATGTAAAACAAATGTTAATTGCCGGCCACTTTGCTAACGTTCGTATTAGTGATATTCTCATGTCACTGCCGGATAATGCTGTTTTCTTTATAATTAAATACCCAGAGATTATGGAAATTTGCAAGAAGCTTCCGTTGTTGCACGAAAATTCGATGCTCATGATGGAGACGAACTCGGTAGCCGAGTGCGATCATATATATCACCCCCCTCAGAAACCGCAAAGATTCAACGGCTATAACGTTCTGCCAGCTACTTCAGGAGAGCCTGTGTGTTCGTTAGTTATTAAATCATAATTCTGCGACTTGTAAAACGACATCAGCTGACCACGTCAATCCGATTGAAGAATCGGACGATGGCCTAGTTGTGATAAATGACGCATCAGTAAAGGTCCAAGAAGGAAAGAACTCAGTCACGACAATACGAGGTACGTTTCTAATAACCTTTCAAGGAAACATACCTGTAGATGGAAACTGGAAAGCAATAAGTCGTTCGCATACAGAAGGTCCACCTGCTCACCTCATAAATTTTACGGAACATACTACATTATTGCTGTTACCGTACCTGCAGAAACTTAACATAAGAAACTTAGCACACATTTCCAACCTAATTCATACTCGTTCTGCGCAGTCACCATTGGTTTAATGACTCTGTTGGCATCCGCGATCATAATAAGCTTGATAATTAAAGCAAAAAGGTACAAACACAATGGTATAAAGGTCCTGAGGAAGGTTTTAAAATACGAGGACGATCTCTCTAGCGCCCTATCGGATAAGTAGTTTGAATACACAAGGACCTCGAATTACCTCGCGAAGTGTTGCACAAATTCGACGAAATGTATGACGACAAGTCGACCGCTCTACAAATAGTCCACAGAAGTGAAATTAAAAGTATGCAATTGGAAAACCACGCAAATGCAGAGAACTTCGCGAATGATTTCGAAAAGAGTTTCAACAAGTTAAAGGCGGCTGGGGCTCTAATAACTGAAGGGGAGAAGTTGAATTATATGTTAAAAGCACTCCTGGTGTCACTGAATCATATCGGTGATCTCATAGATGTGTTGCCAGAAAAGAACAGAACATGTGAATATCTACTACAGGAGATAAAGTTAAAATTCAGCAACAGAAATGAGTTTAATGTACAGCTAAGGCGAATAATACAAGAGGAAGTGCGAGAAACATACAGTGTCACAAGTCCAAAAAGTACGGACACATTCAGAAACACTGCCCGATTGAAAATCGTGATCAAGGAAAAAAAAAATGTCACAGCACCAAACCTATTCATATCAAAACAACAGCAGAGGTGGAAGCAGGGGATCTCGTGTTAACCAGCGCGGCAATTCCAGCCAAAGAGGATACTAAATCTTACACCCAACACCCTCAACCAAGGCCAAGGCATAGCATCTGGTAAGGCAACGTGGCAATGAAGATTCATGAGGTATAGAATTAAGTGAAAACAAACATTGTAATCAGTCTGATGCCCGGGCAAGGTCGGAGTTATTTGGCAGTCCATAGAGAACTGTAGGGATTCCGTCAGGCTGAGCAAAGTCTTATTTAAGGAACACACTAACCCCAGCATCATTCAGGGAGACGACGGTGAAATTTAAGTCAATCGATATCACTCTACTTAAACCGTTAATGTAAACAAAATCTTTGACTCCGCATTACAGTTGAATAAATCTTTAAATTGCAAGAATCTTTAAAAGACACCATTTTTCCGCCGCTGCTAAGACAGCTAAGTAGTTACTATAAACATTGGCGTTCCATTTGAAATGCCCATATATTTGTATGTAAAAATATGAAATCAGTTACGAATAAGATGATATTGTAATGACAGTGCAGTTGCAGTTTTACGCTGTATTTAGAAACTGTTTTTTTTTTTTTAAACTCAATTCGCGTTCGTGTATAATTAATTGGCCATTCTTCCAGGAGAACGTGAAGTAGCAGCCCGAAAGGAAATACGGCTAGTAACGTGTCTCTATCGAAAAAATATTTTTTCGGAACAATAGAATTAAGTCTCCTCACGAAAGAGGAGAAAAAATGTTGAAACAAAACAAAATCAATTGCTGTTAACTAAAGTGTACTGTAGCATTCGGAAGGACCCAAAACAATTTTCAATTTATCGGTGAAAACGAAACGAACTGAAATAAAAAAGTTAAAAAAGTGAAAAAAGCTAATTACTATAGCTAGTCAGCTTCTTATTAGTAGCTAAAACTCTCAGCGCCACTTTGAGAAAAATAAAAGTGTGTGCTTAATATAAAGATACACTGACAATAAAATTTCGTAAAAATGCTACTACTACTACTTTCGTAGTCTTGGTTTTTGTACTACGTACGAAACTTTCGTTCATAATACGAAAACATTTTTCACAACAAAACAAAATTTTAAGAACCATACGTAAATGTAACGAAGGGAGTTTCGTAAGGCATTTTTTCAGTACAATTTATGAAAATTTTCGTTTATTTTACAGTCTGGCAAAAGAGCAGATCGGCTAAAGCAACGACTGTTGTCAACAATCGTTGCTTGAGCTCATTTGCTCTTTTGCTAGAGTGCCAGGCCACTTGCTAACTTTGGTGAATACCACAAAAACACCTGACTGTGCAACTGACAAATTTGAGGAATTTTTAAAGCAAATAAAAAAAGTAGTAACATAAAACCACTTCCGGCCTATTGGTAAAACTGTACACAAAAAGAGTAATTGAAAATTAAAAAGAAAAAATACTATATTTCTTCAATTATAAATATAAATATATTTCAGTCATTTGTAAGAAAGAGATGTTTTAAAATGGATGGCATTTATACTGAAATATCAATGTTAAAATAAATAGACTTTAAAACAAACAGATCAAAAATGGCAACATTTTTAAAGATACTTAGAAA